ACTATTTTTAAATACTATTAAAGTTTGATGATTGGCTGCCTTTTGTCTAGATATCTGATTCACTTTTATTAAAAGGCCAACATATTCTGTTTCTAAAGCAATTGACAAAAGAATTTAACAGCTGCACTTGTGAAAATGACTTCAGAGGTGGAATCATCTCCCAAATGTTCAAAAAGCTTGAAAAGTGTGATTTTGTTCCTCATGATGATCTCTTTCCTTCCTACCTTTACTCCCATAATAGTGCTTCGCCATCGAAACAGACTTAGTAGGAAACAGACTTAGATCCGTTTCATGTATTAGGGCAAAAGCATACTAACCATACAAAGCTGTTCTCTATCCTCTTAAAAACAGTCCCAGTTTCACCAACAGTAAATATCTCTGTTATTTTCTCTCTGCTGAGAAAATGAATAGACAAATTGGAAGCAAGGGGTTTAGGGTGACAGTATATTTCTTAAAGAAAAAATATATAATCCAGTAAATATTTGGTTGCTGACAATATGCAACCAATTGATTTAAAACTCCTGAAAATAAAATAATCTTCATTCTCAATGAAGAAAATGTGTGATATATAAATGAATAGAGTATACACCTGATTGAGTTGTTTTTCTAGAGAACAAAATATACTCAGCTTATGGTATCATAATGTAATGATTTACAATTCACCTTGTATGAATTTTAAAACTTTAAAAAGAATCTTTGTTTAAGGAATTATAAAATAGAGAATATATAAAGTAAAAATGCTATGTTCTTTCATTCCTTAAAAGAGTGGAGAACAGGGACAAGTGAGAAAGGACATATTAAGTAGTATGGAGTGAAGACATCTTTCCATCTGGCCTTAAAATGAATTGTTATCTCCTTGTGAAACAGAAATTCTTTGATTCTAGACTTGTTAAAGTCTTTCAAGGATAGGCATAGTCTGTTTTCCCTTCTGTCACTTTGAGAGCAAGGTCACCCTGCACTATTCTTTATACTTTCTTCAGTTTTATTCAAGGTGGGCTCAATCCAAAAGAGGCATTCAGGGAGGACACGTGAAAGATTATCCTTGATCACTGTAGATGTGAATTCCTTGTAACATTGAAACTGAAACCTTTTGGGCAGGAGTAATTCAGCTGAATGAACTTTCTTATGAAACTGGTATCCATATAAATGCTAATATAATGGAGTTTTAATTTTACAATTTCCCCTAATTCTCTGTTTCATGCTTCATATGTAATCACTGCCTGTTCACTAGAATAGTTAGAATACCTAGCTGATACAGTTATTAACAAATGTGCACGTGCGTTTTAGGCTGATTCTCAAATTTTGTAAATTGGCTCTATCAAAACCTATGTCAGAAAACATCACAGATAAGTGCCACCTCTTATCAGAATTTTATTGCAACTCAGAAAATGGTCCTCTGGACATAGCCACAGTATTAAATGGTCTTCATATTTTTTTAATGATATAATCTCATTCATTGAACAATTCTGAACTTTTATTTAAGCCTCAATTTTAGCAGATTTTGAGACATTTGCAAGCACAAAATAGCAATAAACAGCATCACTGCATATTTCATGTGATTCTAAACTTTTCACATGGGTAAATCATAGAAATTTTAATTTTTTCCTATTAAACTTTTATCTGTTTGTAGGAATAAATACTCTGCAGTCTTTCTGTGTCACTCATCTTATGGTATCTTGTTTATTTCAAGAGAAGCTTTCGAGGCTAAAGGATTAAAAAATAAGCAGGCAATATATATGCCTATAATTTCAAAGATCAAAATGTTTTTACTTTCTGTCTCTGGTTTAATCCCAATACCGAAGAACTATTAAGTGATTGTTGAATGGAGAGACTGAAGGCTAATCACAAATTAGGAGTCAAAACCAACAAAATATAAAAAGTATCAATAAATAAAAGGTCTAATTCACTTGAAAATCTATTATTAGACTATTGCTATAGATTGACCACCTTTCAAAAATACTGATTTTTCAGTTTCTAGTCAGGCCATACTCAGTATCAGCATGGCCCTGGCGTCTCTTAAAGCTAACTTTACATGAGCTTACTCAATTTTATTCTATAACATGGTCAAGAGATCTTTTATGCAATAAAGAAGTGTTAAGTAGAAATATATGTTCATTTTTTGATTCAGTCATTTAAATCTGTCATAATTAAACATATTTACTTAGAAGATCTTGATATACAGCATTAGGTAAATTTGGTAAATCTTAACACATTTTGTTTCTTCCATTTAAATAGTTTTAAGATATCCATCACATTGATTTTATTTGAAAAGTAAAATATTCTTACCGGGCAGCATGTCATCATTCTCTTCTATGACACAGCATACTGTATAAACTCATCATTTAGAAAATCAGCACTGCTTTGTAAAACCTACAATCGCCGATTATACATATATTTCTACATTGCACTGTCACTTCCCATGTAGTTTCTTAGGCCTCTATTTTTTTTTTTAACCAATACTGTCAAGTTAGGAGTTGTCATAATTTATGCACACATTTTCTTTTCCTGCTCAGATATATATACATAGATCAATTAAGTATATGAGAATGAAGTTAAAGGCCAATAAATAAATTTGGAAACATAGGTTCTTCTACAGTGACTTTAGACGTCTGCTTCCTAACCACACCTAGGGCCTCTGCACACATCTCTGAAGTCTAACCTCAACTATCATCCAAAGGCTAAAATCATTTGGGACTTACATTTCTTATTTGGTTTTCTCTGGACGAACAAACGGCTGCCTCAATAACAAAACACATGCCATTTACATAATTTTTCCTTCTCCAACCTTGTTCAACCTTGTTCAAAAGCTGCTATTTGTCCACTCCTACCATGTATCACTAGGCAGATACTTATTTTGTCATTAAGGGTAAGTTCAAGGCTGTTTTGTCTTTATGTATTTCTGTGCTTTGATGAAAAGTGGTATTTCTTTGACAGTAATCTCCATTACCATTTGGAAGTATCAGTCTCTTAAATTATTAATACAAATAAGCACTTTGTTGTACAGCAATATGATACTACACATTTGAAGATAAATTTGTATTTCTGTAATTAAATAGGTAGAGATCATTCACTTTATTGGTTTGCTGGGTTGCAATGGCATGAAGCACTTCAGTCATATGGCAGGTGCCTCACCGATATGCACTGAAATTTGGCAGACATTTATTCATTCATTCACTGAATACATACTGAACACGTTCTATATTTCAAGTGTTGTACTAGGTGCTGGAAGGAACAACCCAATGACTCATAGCAGTTAAATTTATACTGTGTGTGTGTGTGTGTGTGTGTGTGTGTGTGTGTGTGTGTATCTGATTATAACCCAGGACTGGAGAACCATTCAAGATGTAAAGCTTCTTTACTAGAAGGTCATTTAAGTGCACTTTTTGTTTTCTTGAAAAAGGAGGTAGTTTTGTCTAATTCTCCATGAGATGACCTGTAGGATAACCCAATTCTAGAGCATAGAGAGATTTTACAATGGGGCTTTAGTATTAGGTTATTTATCATCATTTTTTCTAAAACATAGGCTAGTACAGCCATCATGAATTACCGAGGCAGTCTCAGCAGATCTTCTTTCTCACTCGGTTTGACATAGTGATTTAAATTGATTATTCCCGACTGACCTGGAGTGGTTTACATATTAACCTAATACATATATTGTACCTGTTGAAATCGATTCTTCCTCAAATGCCTACTAAACACAGGGGGGAAAATAGAACTATAAAGCAGTATAAACTATATCTCAAGTTTTCTAAAACTAGGACTGCAATAAGGTAAGCTGTAAATTAATATCTTCATGAGAAAATGTTAATGAGTTTGTAAAATGAGTGCTCCAAAGAATACAAAGAACATTTTGTATGGGTCTAACTTAAAAGATTGTGGCGTTTGTGGGGAAATTCTTTTTTTTTTTTTTTTAAGTGCAACTCTCAAAACAATATAATCATCTGCTTGTGCCAAAAAACATATCAAGCTTAGCCATCAAGGTCTGTACACATGTAAACTATAAGAAAAACGTATCAATAATAAATATTTAGATAAAGAGAGAACAGAGAAAGTGCTGTGAGGGGTCAACATTATAAATTTTCTTATTCTATAAATAGGCCAAAGTCTTTATGGAACCTTCAAAATATATGCTAGTCCCAGAATCAGAGTTAGTATTTAGATATCCAGAAGACTAGTGAATACTTTTGGTGGAAAAATCGAAGGAGATAATTAAGCACAGTACCTATATTTAGTTCTCCAATCAGTTCTTGACTAGCATTTTTAAAAACCGCTACATTGACACTCAAGATCAGATTCATGACTCTTATCCAGGCTTGTAGGAATTAAAAATGTATTCACAAAGAAGAACATTTAGTAATTTGGATAGTCACATATCCTGCCATATTTGAAATCAATGGAATTAGCTCTTATTTAGATAATGAGTAAACCTAATGACCAATGCAACCAAAACTTAAACTTTATAAGTTCAGCAAATAATTTATATATTGAGCAATACTGACATCAATACCACCTAATTTTTTACACATTATACGTTTTTTTATCCTAACGCAACTTTTTAAAAACTGTACGGAGAAAAGAGTTGACATGGAGAGAAAGAAAGAGAATACAGAAGACCAAGGTCTTTGCCTATCTGTGATGATCTATGCATTCAGTCCCCCATGTACTCAATATACTTGGAATATTAACTTTCCCTACCCCCACCGGAGACCAAGATCATTTGGAAAAAAAATGTTTTCATCTCATAAATAATCACATTTTCAGCTACAAATGGCAGAGACCCCAAAACATTAGACTGTTGTTAATATATTCTCCTTTGTTTGTGTTTCAATACTTTTGGCACACAGGGGATTATCTATGCTTCTGAGACCATTTAGCCTTGTATCAAAATTCTCCTTCAATGCATAAACACTGGCATGCCAAAGATGCCTAAATTCACAGTAAGGTTTAGGGCTATTTGTTGCCAAAAGCTGTGAACATGCAAGTTGATTAGGTGTTCTCTTTCATGCTCCTGTCTGTATTATTTCATTGGATAATGAAATAGGCTGCCCTTTCTGTCCATCATTAGAGCAGCTGGAGACAGCATTTGCTACCTGGCAAAACTTTCGAAGAAGGATCTTTCTTAGCAGCAGATAAACCCAGGGATCCAAGATCTGGTTCAGTGAAGCCAGGCGAACAGCTATTAAGAAGAAGTTGCATTCTTTCAGCTTTTCAGTGTGTGTCTTGCAGTGCTCAACTGATGTCTGATTGAAGATCATTTTCAACATCATTATCTAAGAAAGAGGGACAGATAATTGTTCCAAAGATTAACAAGGTCACGCGCATCTCCCCTGCACAATACTTTGCACATAGCTTACAGAAAATTGGTTGTTAGATTGAAATGATTAATTCGGGCAAATTTTATATTCACAGGACCCAGCCCTGAATGAATACAAGACATTCCTACAGTTTTCCCCCTCATTTTTGGCATGTGACGCAATGCAGCTTTTTAAAAAGTACATCTTCTCAGACTCTTGGTCCTTGGTATTTAAGGAGCTTGAAATCTAAAAAACACATTTCAAAATCAGCCAAAGTCATCTGTCTCGCTGCAGAAAGTACAGATGGGTTGGACACTCTAATGAAAGCCAACACTTCAACAAACTAAAACATATTTAATCTTAAACTTTAGTAGTCCTAATTGAAGCAAATTATAGAAAAAAAAAGAAGAAGCATGAAAGGAGGAAATAATACTTATTTTAGCATTTTCTGAATCCATACAATTTGCCAGGGGTCTGTCGAGGTCTTTATATGCATTTAATAAAATATTAAGATAGATAGCATTACAGCCTCCTTTTCACAGTTGCTGCCAAGGTTTAATGATGTTAAAATGGCTGAGCCAGGTTTCAACAAGCTTTCCTAATCCCACTTGACCTCTGGTGCTTTACTTTATCTCCCCCCTCACATATACACACACTGGAATGTAAACTTCTGGAGGGCAGGATTTGAGACTATTGTTTTCCCCACTAATATATTCCCAGTACTAGACCAATACTTAATAAATAGTGCTCAATAAATATATATGAATAGATAATATGACATGTATATGAATATATTATATGACATATATCATATAAATATATTTATATTTGAATGAACAAATATTTGTGGTTTTTTATAGAAGAGGAAAAGAATGAAGGTTCATATACCTCTGAAAAGATATTCAAGCTCATTAGTAATCAGAAAAGTGCAAATTATGAGAAAATAAGAAACCATTTTACACCCACTAGTTTGACAAAAATGAAAAAATGAGACTTTCCCAAGTGTTAGTATGGATGTGGAGGAATGAGGACGCTTTTACACACCATTATCTGGAAAGTGAACTGGGGCACCCACCTTGGAAAATAAACTGAGCACTATTTCCTCTGTGACCTGCCAGCAATCTTATTCCTAGGCATATACCATCCCGGATCCCTGTGCCAGGAGCTGTGCATAGGGCTGTTCATTCCAGTGTTATTCACAACAGCGAAAAACCCAGAAACAACCCAAACACAGGTTCACATTAGCAGGCAAAGATAGGTACTGACTTTATAACTGGCTCCTGAATTCATCTTTCTAATTGCGCTGCATGACTCTTAAGCACTTGAAACGTGGTCAGAACAAACTGAGACATTGGAATATGTAATGATAATATAATGAAATGATAATATTTTTGATATATTGTCAAATAAAATATATTATTAAAATCAGGATTACTTTTTTTAGTTTTTAAAAATGTCACTACTAGAAAATTTAAAATTATATATGAGGCTTGCATTTGTTGCTCACAGTCCATTCTATTGGACCCACGGTCTCTTGTGAGGCCCACACTTATTTGGATGTCTGTCCTTAGGTCACATATCTCCAATTCAAGTCAACATCTCTGAACATCTAAAACACCCTGGACCACAAACCCACAATCCCAGGAATGGCACTTGCTTCTTATACAGTCATGTCCGTTATCTTCGAATCCTTCTTTTGTCTCATCCCCTTCAGTGCCTTTTGCTCTTGTTCCAACCTCATCCTACTTCAGCTCCTTCTGTCATCTGAACTATGGTAATAATTAATAATAGACACCCAGAGGGTGCATACAGATGTCAGCACGTGACAGATTCAGCATCTTAACCAAATTCCAGCTCCAATCAAACCCTCACCAGCTATAAAAACTTCAACTTGGTCTTATTAGACAAATTGACCCACAGATTCTTAAACCAATCATTGGCAGAAGAAATAGAAATTTCCAGGTTTTGTTTATAGGACAAATTCATCCCCTGGGGCTTAAATTATGGTCCTTGACCACATTACCACCTAATACCTGAGCAAAACTGTGGTTATATAAGCAAATAAGAAGAGGGGAATCGGTAGACAACCCACAGAGTGTCATATATTCTTACTCTTTCAAAGTAATTTTTTCCAAGGGATTTATTCAGTAAGAGCAAAACAGCCATATAAATAAGTCAATGTTTAGTGAAGCATTGTCTATACTAGTAGGAAACTAAACACATCTAAAACTTTATAAAATATTGCTTATTTGTATAATAGTATACATAGGAATTAGGTGAAAACAGAATATAAAGTACTTTCTGTATATAAAGATATATTGTTATTATAATTAAATTCTGTGAAGTACATAGACTTGTGGAAGGCAATGGAATTATTACTATTAAATAATAATTTACCATTAAATAATCATTACATTATTTCAGAAGTTGTATGTGCATAAAAATATTTCAAACAATTTATGAAAGTCTTTTATTTAAAGGGATAATTGCCTTCATTAATAAACATGAATTATTATCCACCAACGATAGTCAAAGTATGGAAAGAGCCTAAATGTCCATCGACAGATGAATGGATAAAGAAGATATAGTATATATATATACAATGGAATATTACTCAGCAATCAAAAAGAATGAAATCTTGCCATCAACAACACGGATGGAACTGGAGGGTATTATGCTAACGAAATTAGTCAGAGAAAGACAAATATCATATGACTTCACTCATATGAGGAATTTAAGATACAAAACAGATGAACATAGGTAAGGGAAGCAAAAATAATATAAAAACGGGGTGAGGAAAAAATATAAAAGACTTTTAAATATGGAGAACAAACAGAGGCTTGCTGGAGGGGTTGTGGGAGGGGCGATGGGCTCAATGGGTAAGGGGCATTAAGGAATCTACTCCTGAAATTATTGTGGCACCATATGCTAACTAATTTGGATGTAAATTAAACAAGAACTAAATTTTTTAAAAAGATTATAAACTTAAATAAAATAAAATAAGTAAATCTATGTCAGTATCTTCTGATGCTGGCTCATAGTCTTGTGAAATGAATGCTACCTCTCACTGCACGCACAGATGACCCTAAAAGATATCTACATCCCAATGTCTGGAACCTGTGAATATGTTCTCACCTATGACAAAAGGGCTTTGCAGATGTGATTCATGATAAGGGTCTTGAGATGGGGAGACTCTCCTGGAGTCCCTGGGTATGCTTAGTGTAACCACGTGAGTCCTTAAAACCTGAGAATTTTATCCAGCTCTGGGGAGAGGGAGATGTGTGTGCAGAGGAATTGTCAGAGAGATACAACATTGCCAGTTTTGAACACAGAGGTGTTCACCAGGAGGTGAGTTAAGGAATGGAGATGGCTTCTAGAAGCTGAAAAAAGGTAAGGACATCAGTCTCTGATCTCCTTGAGAGCTTCTAGAAAGGAATGCAGCCCCATGGAAGCCTTGGGATTAACTCAGTGAGACCCATGCCAGGCTTCTAACATACAGAAGTGTAAGAAAAATCAGTCTTGTTTTACACCTCTAGGTGTATAATAATTTGTTAGAGAACTGCAGTGGAAAAGTAATACACCCACAGAGTGAGCTCTCAACAGATGTGGCTTAGGGATGTGGAGGAAGGGGCTTGAAAATGATTTACTGTCTCTCATAGCTAAAACATCTCAGCAAGCTTGTTTACTTTGTTCACTTTTCTTAGGAAACTTTTTTTTTTTTAACAAAGTAAACTTCATCCTAACTCCTATTTAAATGATCTCAATTTCTAAATTTGCGACATGTAAAAATGAATTCTTGTTATTCTAGTAACATCAGTTAGATTTCATGTGTTTGATTAAAAGGCATAAAAGTATATTTTCAATTAGGTTGCTTTTAAGGAAAACATATGCCTATTAATTCTTTTTTCTCCCTTTTATAAACTATTGGAAAAGTTATATCTAGCTCTTTTAACCTCTCACCTTATCCAATAATTAAATATATTTGGCCACCTACCATCTTTCAGGAGGTGCTCTGGGCCTGGTCTAGCATGATCTAAAAACTCACTTCAATTACATTTTCATTTTTTTAGTATAAAATAAAATATATCTTAATATAAAATATTTTTTATACTTTTTAATGTTTATTCATTTTTTGAGAGAGAGACAGAATGTGAGTGGGGGGAGAGGGCAGAGAGAGAGGGAGACACGGAATACAAAGCAGGCTTCAGGCTCTGACCTGTCAGCTCAGAGCCCGACGGGAGCCTCGAACTCACGAACTGTGAGATCATGACCTGGCCAAAGTTGGATGCTTAACCGACTGAGCCACCCAGGTGCCCCTAAAATGATTTTAATATAAAATTGAAATTGTCCAACTCCTTATGTTTAGGAAAATTTACAAAATTACTAATTAAAATGGGATTTCAGTCATTTAACACAGGCCTCCTTGATTAAGTTTTTATGGGGCTTCTAATTTTAAATTATTATTAGACTATTACAAGTTTCATATGCCTTACACTGGTTAGTCCTCTGTAATTTCCTATAATTTACTATGGACAATGCAGTGATTATGAAATTATGAAACCAAGCCCTGTAAGCAATAGCTGGCTCAGGGGGAGAGACACTCTAGCTTTTCCCAGAAATCATGAGATGTGCAATATGACAATAACTACAATTAGAGGCGGTAAGCATGATACTGTCATTTCCAAATGGCAGCAGGGATGGAAGTAGGACTCCCAAATCTGTCTAATTTTGAACACAAACGCAAATTGACATCCATCTGTTGATTTTCCTGTATTCAAGGAGCTAAACAGTGATTACAATTTTGCAAATATTTTTCAGACATTCAGACTTTGGAAGAAAACCTTTGGCATGAATATGTAGATTTCTAGTAGAATTCATTTTTCCTAGGAGTCCAATTCAATCCCTTACAAGGAGAAAGGGACAAATAAAAAACAGGGTGCTTGGACAGCACAAAGCCTACTTTTTTGGCAAATGCA